GTCCCAACAGAAAATATTATAATTTTACATCTCCTTCGGTAGTCAATTTTGCCTGGTTAAACATCCCCAGTGATGGATAAAAAATGGGCCATAACTAAGTGGAGCTAGAGACTAAAAAACTTCCTATGTCATTTAAACCTAGTTAATAATTTGACTCATCAGCATTTTTAGAGAGCATATAGACTCTGCTTATAATTTTACAACTTGTGGATGAATCCGGTGTGTTTAAACCCACGTAAAGGATGAATATGTGCATCGCGACAAAGGCGAAAAACAGTAAAATGCTCTAAAGATGCAAAAAATGAGTCATGTGAGTGAAATTCTTCTTTTTATTTTTGCTACTGTTACTGATCACCAAAAGGCTATGGTGCACGGATCGACAATGCTATCTAGCACTGTATTTATTTAGCGCTAATTTTAAACCAATAATATGCACCTCAAGAGGTTAAATTGCTACGCCACATTGGATGTGGGTGATAAAATACTGAAACTAGGCGTTGCAGTCACAAATAGGAGGGCCAAATATAACCTTACTAGGATGATGGCACTAAGATCTCATATAAATGCATAACAGCAACTACACACAACTACACATCGAATTTGGCGCCATCCGTCCACTAAGTCATCATTAATTGCTGTCCGATTAATCAATAATTTAAATCATTCATCAATAAGGCAATCAATAAACTGCACTGTCAAAGCATTTCAAACACTCTTACCTAGTACACGAGGTGGTCTACATCGCTCATTGGAATAAGCAACCTGTCCCTCATTCCCCTCTGTTCTCCAGTCTCCCTCCCCTTCATCTCCAGCAATACGGTCGTCGGCGCCACTTTTCAGCACTCGACCCTTTCTTACGTAAGTGCATTACACACTGATACTGCTAGACTTCTGTACCAATTGCATTGCATACAGGCCTTTAGCGTTGTATCGCCCTAAATGTAGTTGCAAGTGAAGGTCGACGTCTGCTATCCTTACCACCGCCACCTCCTTCACCACTAGCCCTGATGTTGAGGCAAACACGACCGGCTCCTACTTGAAGATCCTCTTCTCCCGCTGGCACTTCCTCCTTCACTGCCAATATGAGTCATCCACTTTCCTCTGCCTTTACCTCCTCGTCCGTCTACGTTTCCTCCCCTGACTCCGTCTCTACTCACCCCTTTGATCCGCATCCACTATTCCAACTACCAACAAGACAATCATCTTCCCGTTCTTTGACTTCCATCACCTCCCGTTGGACGACTCCTGTAAATCGCACTTTACCACCTTTATCACTCTCATCCAAGAAATCCATCGGCAACATTAATAAGCATCCCCCCTCTCTTTACATTCTGTTGCCATCTTTATGCCCCCCTGCTCACAGCAATTTCACTCACCCTCCCATTCTCTACTCAGGTCTCACCTATGACCAAGCCGCAATGTCGAGTGCGGTTCAACGATGACGACGACATTGAGTTGGGGAATGAGGAATCAGAATGTGACCTGTGATTATCTGGCTGAGAGCAGGTGGTCGGATATGGATGAGCAGGAGGAGAGGTGGCAGTTGTCATCCCCCCAGTTGTACTACACATCTGTTAGCGTTACGTCGTCATCCTTAACAACAGTATCACCACTATTGTCACGCCAAATATCAGCCGCTTATGCTGCAACGGAGGAGGTAGATGCAAACGTGAATGCGGATGTGGAGGCGAATAAGGGGGACGTGGATATGAAAATCAGATTGATAATGGCAAAGCTAAAGGAACAGAGCCGCGCTTTACCATGTACAAAATTCCCTGGTAAGTGACTCCCTTTGAGCAACCATGTGAATATTTGCTCGGCTGAGGAAGTGTTCCTGTGCAAGACTGTAGTATTTTTATCACTACAAGTAGACAAAAAAATCCAGTCAGTCATTCCGTCGGTCTGTCAGTTAGTCATTTAACTTGCCAGCCAGCTGGTCGGTTAGGGGAAGAGGGAGAAAAAAATGAGTAACTGATAGAGTAAAAGGGAAGAGACGGTCGGATTTGTAAATGAAAAACTGAATGAACGTCTGAATGAAGGGGCTGTTGATGTTGCGCTTACTGCTGCTACCACGAGATGTAGCAAGTTGACGCTTACAGAATGGGCGCGCAGATAGCTATATGGGTGTGTAGAGTATGTGGTAGATAGAGAGATCATGCAGTGGATGGGTAGATGATGGGGAGAAGGGAACTAGTGCTTGTCTTGAAATTTCAGCTCAGATTATATTTACTGCACAAC